CCCAGGAGTTCTTCACGATCCAGTAGTCAACTCCGTCTTCACTTCCATAACCAACAATCAGGACACCGTGGTCCAGATCTTTTAGCAAACTGCTACATCTGTTCCTCTTATCGACGATTCCATGACTGTAGAAAGGCATGGTGGAAGCATCAATGGCTGCAGAGACTGGTCCTTTGGAAGCTGTAACAGGAAGAAGGTGAAACAATTAGTTCAGTTACCAAGTCGGAAGGTTTTCGATCAGATGTAGAAGTAATACTTACACACAGCTGCAGTGACTTCTTTCTCGTCCTTGAGGTCAACGAATGACTTGATCTTAACTGCATATCCTTTGCGTTTGCACTCGCTGTCAATGGCTTCGTAAGGGTAGGATTCCTCACTCTGAATGCCATAGTCTTCGACATACTTGAAGGCATCGTCCATAAGCCCCCCTTTGCAGCCAAGGTTCTCGTATTTGCCTGTGGCACAGTCTACTAGTTCTTGAGCGCTCAAATCGATCAACGTTTTGTTTTTAAGGAACAGGTGACCTTCGATGGATCCAACCTGACCGGAAAAACAGAATAGAGAGTTATGACGCTAGCTAATCATGTCACTTTGCAGCATCAGTAATTATGAACCGTATCGGTCATTGACTTCCGATGAGTCAAATAAGCTTAAAAGTTGAAAATGTTTCATGGCTCTTATAGGCTGAAAATATTATCAAGTGAAAAATTCATATTTTGTTTTCTAGAAGTGGAATTACCTAATAATACAGGTACTAGACGAAAATACCTCTGGTTTGAGAAATAATTTTGAAGACTGGTTTTATTGCTGCAAGTTGTTCAAGGGGGTATTCAAAACATGGACGCACTATATGGGTACACCAATTTTTGTGGGAAAACTTTTTATTCGACAACAAAGAATGAGAAAACGTATTTTTTGGGATTCAATCGAAAGGGTTGCCGGGAACGAAAATACCTCTCATATAGCGTGTTTTGGTATTTATTAGACCTACAAAATGAGACCAAATGCAAAAAGATTCGACTAATAGCGAAATTCATCAAATTCATGTGATTCGTACTTCTAAATAACCTCAACAAAAGTGGAGTAGATTGGTCAAGTAATTTTTGAGAATTTCTAATTGCTTATCCCAAAACACCTGTTTTCCGTCCATCACTACTAGTTTATTGAGCAATATACAGGGTTAGTTCAAAGGGAATTTTATAGCTAAATACACTAGTGTACTTTGCCGATATGAATCGCATACTATTCCGGAAGACAAATGTTATTTTTATGCAAAAAAGGATGGGTTATGTTTTTTCTTCTAAACCAATTAAGACATTTCGTATTTGTGAGTAATTCACAGCAAAAGATGATAGACACATCGACTTTGTCTTAAAATGTATATAGTAACGTATGTTTTTCGAATATCGTAGCGCATTTGTTCAATTACTCTCAAATACGAAATGTTTGAATTTGTTCAGAAGAAAAAAACGTAAACTTTGTTTTTCGCATAAAAATAACATTTATCTTCCAGAATCATTCGTTATTAATATGGGCAAGGTAAACACGTGTATATTGCTATTAAATGCTCTTTGAATGTACCCTGTATATTGCTCAGTAAACTAGTAGTGATGGTCGGAAAACAGGTGTTTTGGGACAAACAACTAGATGTTCTCAAAAAACTACTTGACCCATATACTCAAGTTTTGTTGCAAAAGTATGAATCCTACGGATTTGAAGCAGATTTCAAGTAGTTTCGCGAAATTACCGTCGCATTGTCAACAAGTGCCAAAACCTGCATTTTGCCTCGTTTTTCGGCCATAACATTTTTGCTATTAGTCGGATCTTATTACGTGTAGTTTAATTTTGTAGGTATTATGAATATCTATTAATCTTATATGAAAAGTTTTTTCATACCTGTCAACAGTTTCGATTGAATCCCAAAAAACCCGTTTTCCCATTCTTTGTTGTCAAATAAAAATGTTTTCCACAAAACTTGGTGTACCCATTTTATGCGTCCACTATTTAAATACCCCCTTGAACAACTTGCACCAATAAAGGCAGACGTTCGGGGAAATTCGCTAATATGATTACACTACAAGTAGAAGCACAAGAAATTGCGCAGCGAAAGGTCAGATGCGAGAACGTTTCGTCAGCAAGATCATGATACTATTCAATTTTGCTTCCGGTGCTATGTTATTCCTGATGTAGTTCTGAGATTCGTTGATTGATAACCTTTTGACAACGACAAAAGATCTAGTCTATATTCGCGGCTCTGGGCATGCATCTTCCAACCATAGTCATCTGTGCAACTCCCAAGCCGATAGTGAAGTTTGAACTTGTTGCACGCTAAGTGTACTCGTATAATACTGACATGTTTGAAGGATAATGACGAAATAGTTTGAAATCCAAAATGACAAACGTATACAGGGTGGCCCAACGAAAAAGAATGATTTCTAGGGGGACGTCTTTTCATCTATAATCGTACAATACAGGGCAATCCAAAAATAAGATAATGCGTTACATCCTATATTTTTGAACCTGTCTTCAATCGTTGTGAAGCTATTTGGGTTTATAATAGAATTCTAGAAATTATGATAAGGAATTATATCGTACACATATGGTTTGCATACCTAAAATTAAAAACAAGTCTCCAAGTATTAAAAAAACAAAAAACTTACAGCTTCCACGCACATTAAAGTTAAAGTAAAAATTAATTTGATGTGGTAATAAGGGCTGAAAGTCGTACCCATTTACCTCCATGCAATAATAAAGATTTTGTTCAAATCTATTCCTCACATTTTCAATCATGTCTTGACTTATTTGTCTACATTCAACCGTAATACCAAAATCTTGAATGGAATCTGGCTTCGTACTAAAAACTTAACTTTTCAAATGTCCCCAAAAAAACTAATCTAAAGAACTTGAGACCGGTGATCTCAACGGCCACTCGTCTGCCGATCCACTGATTTGGGAAATGGGTGTCCAAAAGCGTCGTACTGCCCCAAAAATGGGGCTCTCCATTTAAAAATCTAAAGTGTAACGCTATATCTTATTTTTGGATCACCATGTATTGTACCGTTATAGATGAAAAGACGTGCCCCAAGAAATCAAAATTGACGTGTCCGAGCGTTTCTCCCAAAATATACGAGGTGAGTGCTTGCGACCTGTAGGTATAGTAGCTATCGACGTTTGCTATACGAGTCGAATAATGTTTTTTTGCCAATTTAAGCAAGGGCTGACGTACGTGACGCTTAAAGGACGCAAGAAGCTGCTTAAAGGGAATGAAAATATACATACAGCACTGAAAGCCCAGCATGAGCCGCATTGACCTTGATCTTTGACAGCTGTCACAGCACCCTTTTTCCTCCAGTCAATTGCAGTCTTTATCTCAATACCAGTGGAATCAAATTCTAGTGCATTTCTTGGTCGGTCAGCTTTGCCTTGGGTCTTCAGCAGGTCCAGGAACTCTTGTTGGGTCATGTCGGCAAACTGTGTTACCTTCATAGCGTAACTCACCTCGCCCGACTCGTATTTTTTGTTGTGTTCTTGGATCATACGCACGTTGTCTTGGAAAATTGAGAAACGGTTTTTATCTTCTACCAAACTCCTGTAGGTCTTACCATGGATCAGCTGAAAACACGCAACGAGATTTTTAAAGCGCGGATTACAATTTGATGCCGACAGTTTCACCATTTTGCGTAATAACCACTACAGGATGCACCAGGATTTCGTCTAGTGGGGCGTAAACGATATTTGGGGCTGATAATTTTACAGTCTAAGTACAACTTCTAAAATTTATCCTATTGTTGCTCCGTAAATCCAATGGGGTCTATCTGGCCAATGCCAACTGGAAAGCGTTAGGAAATCCTCAGAACTGGTAGACATGTTGTGCGATTTTGGCCTCTGAAACAAGTCTCAGGATGTCTATGTGGACATGTCCATAAACCAAGCCCCGTCTAGGGAACTGATGTGAGACCAAAAATCACACGTCTATAGCCTCTCGCAAAACGTTAAAAAAAAAACCTATAAGATGTCAACTTGCAGACTAGGTAGTTTTTAGGGTGCAAGCAGTCATTTCACGTTTGCTCAATAGGATCGTTGTGAACGTCCATCTATGGAGGAATCACTCAACTAAACTACACGCATTATCGGTTGCATAGTTTTGTGGGGCCTGGTGATCAGTGTCTGTAGTTTTTATCTCTGAGAACAAAGTTGGTTGAATAGCAATATCACATCTGGATGATTATGTGTATTGTTCCGCATGTGTATAAAATCAGTGATATTTGCTGTGTGAAAAAATCATTACTGAATAAGCTGCCAATGAAGTATATCTATTGACTGTGCCTGACGGGTTATTTTTATGTTGTGCTTACTTGAGAGAAGTTATGTTCAAAGTTATAAATTACGGAGAATTACGGGAAATCATCATCGTGCCAGTGTTGTGTGTAATTACTGTTAGCATGTATATGGCTTGTACTTCCACAGTGTACAGAGAATATAATTATTTCTGATCTATCTCATTTTTGAAATTCAGAAAATTTGTATATGTAATTTCCAGAATGTATAAGAAAAAGTGGCTGCGGAACTAATTTCTAGCTTTGAATCTCGATTAAGTGAATTTGAGACAAGAATCCAATGGAATTATCATCAACACACACAACTTACAGCTTAGACCTCCAGTAAACGTACATTGATAACTAAAGCCTCATGAAGGTTAGGCTACAAGTACAACTAAGGGTTAAGTTAACATCTTGGAGAAAAATCTACATAATGTCAAAAAAAATCGATATAATCTCAATTTTTAAGATACCTGATACCCGTGCCGATCAGAATGTACATACGTTCACACATTCCGAGAGTGTACACGTCACTCGACGTCTAGAGTCAGTCCATTCCACATAAAACAATGTCGTTGATGGTGGAAACGAACATGAGACCGAAAAATTCACATTATCGTATGGACGCTAGACGAGACAAAGAGGATGTCTATAGACTATCTATAGATCGTGACATGAGACCGTCTCCAGACTGCCTATAGACAAATTGCGCAACGGGGTTCTGTTATATCAGCAGGTGATAAAAATATCAATAGGTATCTCAAATCGCACGTAAAAATGTTGGAATATTGAATTGAAACAAGTACAGGAATATGGGATATGTTTTTATCAATCCATAGGAATGTGGCAAATTTCAGCAACAGCGCTACTTTTGCACTTGACCTCTGACCAATGTGCTGTAGTGCTACATTGTTTTTTCATCGATGACTAGCAATTTTAGACCGGACGTTTAAGGACTCTTTTAGGTTGGAAAACTTATAGTCTTTGTTTTGAGCTTTGATCAGCCTTTTATCTGTGAATGTTTCTTCTAATAGAGTTCATTCCTATCGATTACGGGTAAAAGTCTTGTTCAGCTTTAAAGTAATTTCATTCTAAGCTTACCTTGAATTGCTGCCATTCTTCTTTAATAGAAGAAGCGCAAGCTACCAGAACCAAAGCAGCAACTACAACCAAGGACTTCATGTTTCTAAAATACCAAGAAAAATGAATTAGTTCATCAGAAGCACTGGTAGTACTTGAAAGATTTCAAGTATTGACATTTACTTGTCTTTTCGTTATTAGAGGAAAGCCGGGCGAAGCGAACATACCAGGAGAAAAAAAAATTGCGTTTTACATCCAAACTGCCGCGAAAGAGTACATACTCGTAAACATAGAAGGGTACTATAAAAGTTTTGTAATATGACTTAACAACGGACGCAAGAGGCTGCATGTTAATGCGTGTTGAGACATGTCCATGAGTGCATAGTAACCGCCGGCAGCACGTCTGTTGATTTAGTTGTTCATTCGTCTTGACAGTGTATGGCATCGTGGTCACGTAGTCAGATTGGGGCAGTTTTACGGTATAACTTTACTCATAGTTTAAGCATAGACCAGTGCCTAAAAGAAATGATGCTCGCATTAAAGAATGATTGTCCCCATCGCACGACCATAGTCAAGTGATGCCGAGAATTCCAAAGGGGCAATTTCACTCTGGGGGACGCTGAGAGGAAGGCAGACCGCGAACAGCGGTAACAGAGGAAGACATTATTGCTGTGAGGGAAATGCTTGACCAACACCGGAGAGTAACATACCAACAGATAGAGGAGACCTTGCACCTTCATGCGTCAGAAATTCATTCAATTCTGCATGATCTCTTATACGTAAGGAAACTTTGTTCTCTCTGGGTACCGCATAGTCTGACGGCACAGCAGGACGACTTGGTGCCGAAACATGCTGAAAATGTTTGATCAGGGGCAGTCTCGGTATGTGGACAGCATCTTAATAGGTAAAGAGACCTGGCTCTATTATTACGATGTGCCGGTTAAGGCTCAAAACAATGTTTTGGTCTTTGATGATGAGGACACAATCTTAGTTGTCAGAAAATCCCGATCTGTTAAGTAAAAAATGTATTTTTCAGATGGAGCAGGATTGTGGATCGTGTCGCTTTGGACACACAGCAGACAGTCACAGTTCAGTGGTACATGGAACAGGGTCTGTCATAGTCATAGATTCTATGAAAAACCTGCGGCCAAAATCAAGAATGGGAACTTGAAACCTCCACCATGGCAATGCTCCAGCTCATCGCGTTAAAGCCTGCACCGAGTAGTTGACCACTTCCGGACTGAAACTTATTGAGCACCCTCCTTACAGTCGAGATCTTGCTCCCTGCGACTTTGCATTGTTTCAGCATGTGAAACTGAAGATAAATGGAAAACGGTTTTCTAACGGTAAGGACCTTCTGACGGCTTGGAACAACGAGGCTGCCGCACTTCCAGGTGAAACCTGGCAAAGCTGGTTTAATGACTGGTTGTGATGGATGGAGAATGTATTGACTGTTTTGGAAATTACTTTGAACAAAGTTAATAAATAAAGCTGTATTGCAAAATTTTCGAAGTACCTACACTTTAATTTGTTCGGCTTTCTTCAATAATAGGCATGCACCGAGACACAAACTTTCAAAAAACCATTCAAGATTATCCTGCACCGTCCCTGTAGGAATACGTTTCTTGAATATTTAGAATTATACAGGGTGTTCGACTAATAGCCTGGATAATAACGTTGCATCTTTGATAAGCGCCTATAGCTTGATGACATTTTTGGATAGACCTACGTGCTTCTTTATCTCCGTAGGGTCGTCAAATAAAACACAGCTTTATTTGTATCATATATGTCTTAGGTATTTATCATTAAAAGAGCCTTCTTTACTAAATATTCTTTTCAACGATTTCTTTTTACAATCAGCATATATGTACGTGATATGTATAAGAAGTTTAAGAAACGTCGACCCGAGCTTGTTACGAACCTGGACAATAAACCTACATTAAACTGAATTAGGAATTGGATTGTCAAATGTATAGATCTTGTATCAAGGAAACTAGTCATGGAAAAACTTTGGGTCCATTGATACATTTCTTCAACATGTTGAGAGATACAACATTCTGAATTGAAGCAAAAATATTCAAAAGGTCTCGGCGGTATCTTTTCGTATTAATTTCCAATTGCGACAAAAAATCAAAAGCAAACGTGTCATTAAAGAGTGATAAGTTAATAATATGATTGTTACTTACGTAAGATCAGAACACAATATGTTGTCGAACGAAAAATCTTTCCTTTTATATGAGAGCAAAAATGTTCTCTAATGAGAGACAGGCGAACTAAATGCTTGGAATCGTCCATAACAGCCGGAAATCCTGTTTCAAAACCGAAAACACTTGAGCCATATAGATTATAAATCAAGTGAGAATAAGAACGTTTGTCCCATATTTGATGTATGTGATAACAGATATTTTTGGCGTAATTTATGCTCAGCCACAAAGTACGCACGATTTATTGATCCAGCCATTGCACCCTGGCTTAGGCGCTTTCACTGTATGAGTGATGTATTCCTCCACCCCAACGCCGATAATTTTAGTTATCGATGAACAGACAGCCGACACATCCGCGTCAGCAAAACAAATATCTCTCCAAGGAAAGGTGGAGAAGAAGTCTCTCAGCTAAATCTTCATCCAAATTGCTAATTACCGTTCTACATCCATCTGATTTCAGTAATAAACGTTGTTGCATAGACTGCTAAAGGCAAAGAAGAAGAATGTTGATCATCGTCTTGTCTGGACGTTGTATCTGCCGGATTGAGAAGAAAACCTCACATTCATGGCAGAGACTTTACGACATGATTCTTCCATGATCACTTTTATTTTGTTATTGAGAAAACTGGTGTAAGTTTTTTGGATTAATCTGGACACAAACAATCCTCACTAACTTTTCTTAGAAGCCGACAGTTTTTAAGTTATAAGCGATGCAAGGGCTGAAAATCCGTAAATTGATCATTCTCAATGCTTAGATTCTAGGATGAAAATTGTTAAGTTTGAGGTTGCCAAGTGTGTAATAAAGTTGATTTTGTAAATTGTATTCATATCGAGGGCTCTGGATAAATGGCATGTGGTTATAGCGGTGCCTATAAAGGCATTTGATATGGTAGATACCAATGTAAACCCAGTGACCTTGGAAGTGTTACATCCAGAAAAAATAATTTCTTCAACTTGGGTTTTCGGATATGGGGTGTTCATCAAGAATGGGTGTAACTTTTCTAATGTCACTGTATATGATATTATTGAATAAGTTACAAAAAATGGGGTTTATGGGTACTATATATTTGAAAATTGGTGAAGCAAGTAGTGAGCTACAAGGGTCAGTCAGTATTATACTCTTTGTATGCTTTGAATCTAGAGAGAGCTAATCTGTATGCAAGGTACAGAATATTTAACTTTTGCTGACGACACAGTTCTTCTCTATAAAGGAAATCATGAGCAGGGTCTGCGTGACGAAGCTAATTTAGATCTTGATACCTACTGTAAAACAAAATATCTAATTTTTAAATAGAAGAATGAAATAGTTGAAAACTTTTGTATAAGGGTAAATAACGTCAAAGCAGAAAAGATATGAAGCATCCAATACCTGGGTACAATTATCAATGAGAACTTGAATTGGTCTGTTCACATTAAACATTTTTTTGGATAAAACAATGTCGATGATAGGTGACTTGTGCTGGAGCAGAGGATACTTAACTTCAAAAAGTTTCTCAAAATAGAATACTAACAGTAGATACTGTTGTTCTAAACACAGATTAGAGAACTTTGTCTTCTATAAAATTGACTATTGAGTAAAGATTTGTTTCCAAAAAAGTATAAACCTTCCTTCTCTCTTAAGATATTTTATTGTTTACTTTAAAGCATTGTTACCTAATCATAAATAACGTTGGGTGGGCCACGGGTGCGTCCCTGTTCCCTGTGGCATACCAAATATTCCGTACGTTCGAGGGACACGCTTAAACATTTTTTTTGAGATAAATTTGAACTGAGTTACCATACGAAAACACTTAGATTTATGTCAAGGGACATCAAGCAAACGTAAATGTGGAAACATCGAGTCACAAAATGTCTTCAACGGATGTTCCTGCCTAGTCTTATATTGTAGATATTTCTTGGCGCATGCAGTCCAGCGCCTGATTGTAGGGGTATAACTTTTAAATGTTTGTTTTAACACTTAGAATACGTAGGAGTTTATTCACCAAGATCAATGCAATTGGCAGTGGATATTGTATTGAGTGATGCAACATTCATGCGTTCACCTTTTTATGAAAAACATAAGCTTCGTTTTTCCGATTTGTTAAAATACAGGGTCTGACACAAAGGTCGCACTGTTTTTAAAAAATAGATTCAGGTTCACAACGAAACCGCGTTTGTCACAATTAAGAGTGGAAAATCACATCATTCAAGTGGTGAGCGTTTTTGACGATGCATTTCTGGGGGCATTCTTTCTACTTGGACGACTTCGCAGCAAATTATCTCCTTCAACTCGTCCGGAGTTCGGGGTTCTGCTCGTATACACAAGCCTTGAGGTGTTACCATAGGAAAAAATCGCAGATGGATAAATCTGGGGACCGAGGAGGCCAACGAACATCACCAAACCTGGAATAGCGTTCATCGTTGCTCTGGCTATGTGGGCGATCGCCCAATACTGTTGGAACCACACAGGTCGTCATAATTCAGGTGAAAAAAAGTCGGTGATCATGTCCACATAGCGCTCCGAGTTCACAGTATCAGCATTGCTATTACCTTATTCGAAGAAGTAAGGGCTGATGATGCTAGTTTGCGATACAGCGCATCAAACCGTCACCTTTTTGGGTGTGCAGCGGTCTTTCATGTAACTGTCGCGGATTTTCATTAGCCCAATAACGGCAATTATGTTCCGTCCTCATCGAAGTAAATATTTAGTATATATATATTGTAGTACCCCCGTAGTTGTACCAAACCCCCACGATCTCAAAGCGCGCACGCAGCGAAGGAAAGAGACTCCGCTCCCTTCAACCTACCTTCCACCCCTCTGGTAGTCTATAA